GTCTGCCCTCTTATTTTTCCATGGTCATTTGGGTTCTCCATGTTTTCTACCAGGATCCAATGCCATTGCTAAGCCTCACTCTGGCTACATTGCCTTTGGTGACTTGGTAAAGGTACTGTACACCAGGCTTCTCCACCATAGAGACTATTTCACCCTTATGCATATATTGGGGAGATCAGTGGAGGCTAAATGTCCTGTGCTCAACTTTTACTCACTAGTCTAGGCTTCTGCTGGTGATTCCAACTCCAATCAGTGCCTGTTACAATGCTTTCAAATGGCAATTTTTCCAGCTCCCGAACTTCTTGTATATTTGTTAGCTGACTTCCTACTTGTAAGGCAGTGTTCCTTTCCCTCCTCCCTTTTTAATTTGTCTCAGTGTAGATTCATGATTTTTTATGGGCTATGATCCTTTATGGCAGTATTTATTCTAATGCTGTAATGATTCCAGACTTGGCCAGTAGAACCTCTGCAACCAGGCTTCTGTGTCCTTTTACCCTGTCCCTGTCATTCTTCAAGGTGATCACTACTTAAAGACAGCTCCTTCCGGTGGGTTGAGCCTTTCTCTCTATTCCCTTGACTTCCTGATGAATACTAAGATTCTCTGCCTGCTTAGAAAACTCCTGGCTCTCAGTGCCTTTCCTCCTTCCGTCCCATACCCCCTGTGAAACAGGACTTTCCTGCAAGGAGACTTCACCAGTCACTGCAAGGGCAGTAGCATGGCCAACTTTAAACAGGACTATTTAACTTCAAGATGACAGGGTGAAGCCCCACAGAAGACTGCAGGAGCAGGAGGCATCAGCAGTGGGTGGACACAGCCATCGTAATGGTATTTGTTTTTCCCCTGTGTAAACCAAACAATGGTTACGAAGGACTTGCCCTTTGCTTTCCTGTTGCTTTTTTACACTCCCAAAGAGAAAGTAGATTTTGATTCTGCTTAGCAATAAAAGGCACCAACAACCAAATTCTCAACTTTAAGCTAGCTGTAGTCAAAAGGAAGTCAGGAAGAAAGCAGGTAGAGGACTCCTTGGGAACTCAGCCTTACTTCAAAAGAGCGAGTATTTATTTTCCTCTCTCCATGTATCATGCTGGGTAAGGAGTGCTTCCTTTTTACACCTGGACAGAGAGAAGGCCTTGCTAAAAGTAAGATGTGGATGTGGGGTGACGTGTGCAAAGGGAAATGGATTGAATTTGATTTGACACATCATATAAGGAAGAAAAATTGTAGATATGGGCATGCACAGGCTGGGAGTGATTGCATTAGTCCCCACCCTGTTCATCAGCAGTCACACAGCCTTGGACATTAGAGCCAGTTGAGAGAAGGAATGTCACTGGGGAAGGAAAACACAGGGTGGAGAGAGAGAGTAGAACCTGGAACCAGGAAGAGGCTGTCCCCATCGAGCTCCCAGCTCCGGCAAGGCAGAGAAGCATGGCCCTCAGGTATGGGGACCAGGTCTGTAGGAAATGCATGTGGTGTGACCTAAAGGGAGGGGTGGGGGAGAGGAACCAACACAGAAACTTGATGCTGAAAGGGGAAAGGCTGTCAAGACAACCTAGAATGGCATGGTGTCTAGAAGCAATGTAGATCCTGTGGTTTTCCCAGGGAGGAAGTGGAAGGGAACCTGAAGGCCACAGATAATGTATAAGAAGTGCGGAGGTTGTGGTTTTGTAGTTGGGCTGTTAAATCCAGCAGGCATTTCATTTCAGTGCAGGTTGCTCTGCGGCCTCAGCTGCCTTCCCCAAAGGTGTAGACTAGGCTCTCTAGTTCCACCCTGGCGAGGGGTCCCCAGGATCCATCTTGGTCAACCTCCGGGAAGCTGGGAACACAGAGTGTTACAAGGTATCCTGCCAGGTGTTGCCCAAGATGTGCCTTCTTCCTCCTTCCTTTTCCCTCTCTCCCTCCTTCCCTGACTTCCTTTCTTCCTACAGCTCTTGAACTCACCATCATAAAACTGAAACCATACTTTTTCCCACAATATTTTATGATTGCTTCAGTTACATTATTACAACCACAATCTGCCCTCTTCATTTCTCAAATACTAAGCACTTTCCTCTCAGTTTTTCTTTGCTACCTGTCCTCCTGCCTGTTTTTTCTTTTTAGAACAGAGGACAAGATCAACAAAGGTATTACAGGCAGGGAAAGGGGGAAGATTCAGAGCTGGTCCTGGAGCAGGGAGGAGAGGAAGAGGAGAGGGGTCGGGGGGTGGGGAAGAAGGGCACATGGTACATTTAATCTATCCTGTTTATCCAGCTGATCTATGAATTACTAGTGGAAAATGAGCACAGAAGTGGGGCCCCGAGGCTGAGAACAAAATCCCAAGCTTTGGAAATAGGATCATTTGAAAGCACTTTAAACGTCAAAGGTTTTGCATGAAGCCCCAGTGGTTTCTCTGTCTGCAGAATTATTTTTGTACGTGGGGTTTATGCCTTTCAATTGGTGTCACTGTTGGTAGAAATATACCTTACTCCAAAAGCAAATGCTTCCTGCAGTTGTTAACACTGTGGTTTAAATACATGTGTCACGACAATTAGATCGTATCTTTCATGGGTGTAAGGCTTTCATCTTTAATTTTGTTTTACTATGCTGTATCCAAATAAGGCTAATGCTTATTCTGTTTATTATTATGCTTCTCCTGAATATTAAATAACACCCCCCCCAACAATGCCATTGTGTGGGTATATTATTATCCCTTTTGACAGTGAAGTGGTTGAGTGGTTGGGATGAAGTGGTACTCACCACTACCCAGTGAGTATGAGGCAGAGCGGGATTCAGGATCAGGGTTTTCTGTCCCCAGAATCCACCTCATGTCTCCTGGGTTATATCTGTGATTGGTCACGGACACAAAGAAGGTTTGCAGGTCTGCTCTTGCTTTTCAGCTGTAGCCTTTAGAAAATCTGTTCATTCTATAAATATGTATTACCTGTTTACTGTGAGCTAGGTGCTGTCCTTGGTGCTGGGAATCAGACTGGAAGAAAGGCCCTCCCCTCATAGGGCTGACCTCAGAGTGGAAAAGATAGATCAGAACAAACTTATAACAAAATGGCCAGTAGTGCTAGGAGGAAAATGGAAAGATGGTCAGGGGAGAAAAGGTAACAAGAGCTGGGCAGATAGCCCAAAAGATGCCTTTACAGGTTTGTTAGTTCTCCCAAGGAGAGTGTGACAAGAGACTCAATGCTCAAGAATGAGCATTGAGTTACTTGGGGATGTATTAGTTTCATGTGCTGCTAGGAAAACATGACTACAAATTTGGGGGCTTTAAGCAGCAGAAGTTTATTCTCTTACCATTCTAGAGCCAATGGTCTTGATGTCACTGGACTGAAATGAAGATTCCCCAGGCCACACTCCTCTGGAGGCTCCAAGGCTGTCTCGCCATCTCTGACTTTGTGGTCACATTGCTTCCCCTCTTCTGTCTGTGACCCCATCTCCTTCCAGCTCCTGCTCATACACCCATATGCAATCATAGGGGTCACCCAGGTAATCCAGGCAAAGTTCCCCATCTCCACATCCTCAGCTTGGTCACATCTGCAAAGGCTTTTTATAAATTTTTTGACCATGTAAGGGACGTTCACAGATTTCAGGGACTGGAACAAGTATATGTTTTAGGGTATTTGTAGATTTTACTTTTCAGTGCAGAGAGTCTAGTCCCATATAACCAACCAACTAGTCAATCTTTACTTCTTAAACATCAGCAGTCATTTTGCCTGTGGGCAAAGCCTTATTTGTGAAGTAGCATTCTGGGAAATCCATTCATTACTGAAAGAAGAAAGGAGACAGAATACGGAAGGCAATGACAGCTGACAACAGATCCTCTCTCTTCCTTGTGTGTGTGTGTGTGTGTGTGGAGAGACAAAGGGATATGGTTTTAGCTATTGCTTCTAGCTTATCTTGAAGACTGTAGATATTAGAAAAGGAGAATTACTGGCAGGTCAAAGTGACCAGTTTTATATGAGGAGAAGGAAGTGATAGGGGGCGGGAATACAGTCAGGGAAGGGGCAGGGGTCAATGGGCAGGTGGGAAATAAGCCCACTTTCACCAGAAAGCCCCAGGGACATGTCTTGGACCTGTAAGGGAACGAAGTTTGTGGATCTGAGCTGGTATCGGCCCAAAGACAGGAAAGCGGGAGCACATTAGTACAGGCAAAGCTTATACTGATGTCATGGACAGGCCATGACACTGTGGAGGGTCTGAACCATGGAGCACACAGGTTAGCCATCTTTAATACATAGTATCTGTGTTAGTCAGTAACACTGTGACAAAACACCTGAGGTATGTCGATTCACATGTAAGGAAGGAAGGTTTATTCTGGCTCATGATTTTTGAGTTTCAGTCTATGATCACTTGACTCTGTTGCTTGGTAGCACAGTACAAATGGCAAAGCATATGGCAGACAGAGTCTATTCACCTCATGGCAGCTGGGAAACAAGAAAACAAAAGGAAAGGCCAGGGTCCCAATATCCCCTTCAAACATCCCCCATCCCCCCAATGACCTAACTTCCTCCCACTAGGCCTCATCTCCTAAAGGCTGTACCACCTCCTAGTAGTGCCATGGGCTGGCAACCACACTGCAACACATCAGCTTACTGCAAGTCTCATAGACCTGGAGGAGCTAGCCCAGCAAGGAATCCTCTCAGAATCTCCTACACCCCGCTACAGAGCGGAGGGCTATGCCCTGGTGAAGTTCCTGGATCCACTGTAAAAGTACATGTCCCTTCTCTTGCTGGAGTCCTCCACTCCTGTTTTCCATCTCTGTAAAATGGGGACAGAACACATAGAGGGCGGCAAGGGTTTGGTACAGAGGCAAGTGTCGCTAATGCCTGAGACTCTGAACCGATTTTAGAGACATGGGTTGTTCTGAGTGACCAGTGTCCTCCCTGATTCATGTGTCACCCTTTACCCAAAGTTACAACTCTTTTCATTTCAGTATCTAGGAAAGAAAAAGCAAACATGATTGCTATTAAAATATCACAGTGTTCTCTCTTTTTACACTTTCTTTTCCAGATGGTAACACAAAAAATCATCCAGATGGGGTGCAAGTGCTGTAAAATAATACACAGGTAAAACTGAACAAAGATTTCATCTAGGTGGGAAATTTGTAGTGATTCTGAAGTCATTCTTAAAGATGCCGTATATAACAGCAGGTCCAAAAATAATAAGAAAATAAAATAAAGGCCAGGTGGGCACTTAGTGCCTAAATCCCACTTGGGGCCCTGCCACAGGGCCAAGACACTAAGTTGGCTCTGTTTTGGTGTAAGTTAGAGGACACGTGGCCTAGATTTTAAACCTTTTTTGCTCACTGCACAAAGGATGTTCAGAACGCCATTTTCCAAGGCTGAATTCAGTATGGGTCAAATTTGCATTACTCCAGAGAACTTCAATGTAAAGAAAAGCTGGAGTTTTAGAGGTGCCTGAAATAGCGTCACTGAAAATAAGCCCCCCAGTTACATGTGTGTCTTTAATTTCATCCATATTACATTTCATAAGAATTAGAGTAATATGAACCAAATTAACTGATCTTGGTTCCTTAACAAATAAAGCTACCTGTTTTGTTCTATTCCAGACACATAGAGATAAGTTTTATTCCACTGTAATCATGTGAGATTTGGCTTTAGTCAAAGAATATTTGTGATCAGTCATTCCTCCACATCCATGCTTCTGCATCCCTGGAGCCAACCAACCACAGATCAAAAATATTCTGAAAAACATTGTATCTGTCCTGAACATGTATACGCTTTTTTCTTGTTATTGTTCCTTAAATGATACAGTGTAGCAACTCTTTACATAGCATTTACACTGTATTAGGTATAATAAGGAATATAGAGGTGATTTGAAGTTTAAGGAAGGATGTACATAGGTTAGCTACCTGCAGGTAGTATGTCATTTTATATAAGAGACTTGAGCATCTACAGATTCTGAGGGAGTCCTGGAACCAAGCCACTGTGGATACTGAGGGATGAATGTTTCTTTTATGCTACTACAGACTTCAGACTTGTCATTTTGATGACTGTATAATATTCCACTAGAAAGATGTATCATCAGTATTTAGCCCCCTATTTCACTATTTGTGGACATTTGTTTGTTTTTTACTTTTTTGTTTTGATTTGTTTTGTTTGATGGGATTGGGGTTTAAACACAGGGCTTTGCACTTGCAAAGCAGGCACTTGAGCCATACCTCCAGACCATGTTTGCTCTGGTTATTTTGGTAATGGGGTCTCCAGAACTACTTGCCCAGTCTGGCCTCAAACCATGATCCTCCTAATCTCAGCCTCCCAAGCACCTAGGATTATAGGTGTGAGCCTCTGGTATCTGCCTGGACATTTGTTTTGTTTACCTTTTTTATTTTAGAATTCCATAAACCATTTGGGACTTGATCTCTGTCATCCTTTTAGATCTCTTTAAAACTCTTTCTAGAGGCAGAACATTTTATACCAACTCTATTTGATTCAGACACACTTATTATAGGTCTAACAGAGTGATGACAGGAACTAGTTCACTCCCAGCTCCTCCAAGTTACAAAGCTGACTGATTTCCACTCTTCTTCCCCCAGCTATCTCTTTGATCCAGTCCAAGTGCCCTCGCCTGGCTATGTCAACGAAGTAAGCAGTTACAAGTTAGAGGAAGATGACACTGTTAAGTTAAAAGGCACTCAGAGCAGTGAGGTCCTGGTACAGAAAAATGCCCTTCCCAGCGGGGGCTTGAGGAGGACTGAGAGCAAAGGCCGGACAGCTGGTCTACCTCGCCAAGGACCACTCCCTCAAGAGGATACAGGAGGGGGACACTGTGTGGACAAGCCTGGTGTCTCTATCAATGGCATCAGTCCCATTGCCATTCTGCAGCCTAACAAGAATCCCAAGCTCCAGCAGGGAGACGGCTGCTCCTGGGTCAATACTACAGACAATATTCACCCAACCCAATCCTTTCTTGAAGGAGAGGTCATCAGAAAACAAGACTGTGCATTGCCCACCTCAGAAGACACCCAAGTCACCCAAAATGGACAGTCCAGAGCCCCTTCTGAGGCAGCAAGTCCCACTTTGGCTATACCAGACCATGTCCTCCATATACCAGACCCGGACTACCCTCAGCTTTGGAGCCCTACTGTAGACAGTGTGGATCATGAAGAGAACTGTCTTTCTAAGAACCATCCAGAGGGTGAGCCCTTGGCAGGAACTTACCCTGAGGTGGGTGAGCATGGCTTGAATCTACCCTTCCCCAAGAAAAGGAGCTGGGACTCACTAAACAAGACTGTGACAACAGAAGCTCTGAGTGTCTACTCTGAAGAGGAGGGTCCTGCTCATGCTGTACCTACGGTCAATTCCACAAATGAGCAGGAGGGTTCCCATGGCTCAGATGGAGACAGGGAGGGTGAGGTGGAGGACGAGGACGCAGCAGTGGCAGAAGCACTGGCAGCGTTAGAAGCGGCTACTGCAGGAGAAGATGTGGATGACGCTGACTAGGGAGGGAGTTGGTGCAGGCGATAAGCCAGTTTCCTGAGCCAGTGAAGTTGCAGTGCTCTCTGGACACAAAACCAGCAGTTCAGCCTGTGCGCCCAGAGCATCCTCACCAGTTGTTTACATCCAACATCTGTCCTGATGTCAGCCCAGTGCATGCTACTTATTACATACTTGGACCAGTGCTCTGTGAAGATGGATTGACGTTCAGGACACTAGAATAAGAGTGGGCCGTGGTGCCCATGTTCACAGCAAATTCAACACTTAGACATCCTGCTTGTCAGCCCTCAAAGCTCCTCAGAACATCTGGTCCAGATGTGTAGGAGAATGCTGGAATCCCAATGCCTAATCCCAAGGGCACATAATCACAGAGTATCCTGGCTGGCTGTAAATTCTTCACCTTGCTTTTGAGAGCCAAATATTTCACCCACCCTAGAGAAAAGTAACTACCCACTTTTAAAAGTGCCTACTGTGTCCCCGAACATGGCTTAACTTCAGGGATAATCACCCAGGGAACTGAAAACTAACCACTTGCTAGACAGTGAGTTAAGTTCGATGACCTCTAGAGTGGAGCCGAAGTGACCAGTAAACAAATGGTTAGCCATTGGCTGTGATATGCAAACACCTTGACCTTAACTTTTTTATATTGTTACATTTTAATCTCCTTTGGGATTAGGGAGGCTGCCCAAAATCATCTTTAAAACTTCTTGGGTCATATTTTGGTTTTAAGTTCATGAGATTGTGGAATGGCAAAGCTATAAATGGAGTGTTTATGCCATTAAATGTCTGATTCTGATTAAAATATAGCAACATGTGTCTCTCTGTCTTCACTCAAAGGTGGAACCAACATGCCCAGAGTGTCAGTGACTTTTGGTGTTTCTTTCAATTTAAAGAGATAGACATTTTCTTCCCATAAGGAAAAAAGAATAAAGGGTCAAAAGTCCCATTCCCTATCTGTTAAGGAGCTCTCAGAAGAACAATTAAACCCTTCCACTTTTACATCATCTGTGATGTCTAGTCACATGGCCATATCAAGAGAAGACTAGGAAAACTTGTTACTTGGCTTCCCTAAATTGGGGGTGTAGCTACTGAGAAGGTGGGGAGTAGACATTGAGTTTGAGGTAATCAGCTTACAGTCTCTGTCATACTAGATTATCAAAACCCACAAGCCTGGAATAGAGTTGGTTTACCAAAGATTGGAACATGGTGCTCACATGGAGTATGGCATGGCAGGCACTCAGCCCTTTGATCACGGGGAAGGCAGACTAGACAGCTACTATCCCCCGATTTCTCTCTGGTATCTCCAAAGAAAGACTTTCAGATGAGGAAAGGGAAAGGTAAGGAATGAATGCAGTCGGGTTTCTTCCCTTTCTGCATTATCATGCGTGTAATTCTACATGTTAGAACTGCTACAGAGTTCTCTATCACCAGCAGCTCTCAAGTTGTAAAGATTCTTTTTTTTACAAACAACTGCTTCAAAAGGTTAGCAGATGACCAAGAATTTCAACCTGTTTTTTAAAAGCAGTTCTGGCCCCTTTCACCTCTACCCCAATATTCAGGCTCCACCAAAAGACATCAGAGAAAAGTCAGAATGTGTAAATTGAAAATAAATTCTAGATTCAGGCTTTTTCTCCCAGGCAGTCCAACAGCTGTCTGAGCACCCTGCTGCACACAGTGTTTTCTTTTGCAGCTGGACGACACTTAATCAGAAAAGTGACACTGAAGACAGAGAAGCTGTTCAAACAATTTGAAAGCTCAGGCACTCTGACCGTGAACCATTGACTGTGGCTGGGTGTGGGCATCATGATTCCCCACCATCCCTGGCTATTAACCAGGTTAAATCTTGATTTTGATTTAAGATTATTTTATTTATATGTTACATGGAGGTGTTTTAAGCTAAGAGCTTACATTTAGCTTTTTACTAAGGGAAACTGAACTACCATATAGATGTGAAATGAAATGTTTTTCCTTGGTTGCAAATGGTTATAACTGGCAAACCAGATCCCCCAAGAATGAAGTTTCTTGCATCGCACACCCATTTGTCATGCTCAGAAAGTGTTGCTCATTTGTTGTTGTGTGCCCCTCTCTCCCCCACCACCGCCGCCTCTCTCTCTTCTCCTCCCTCTTCCATCAGGACATCTAAGTAGGTTGAATGAACAAGACACCACATGCTACATGCAGGTGTGTGACCTTCCTAGCTGCTGGCGATCTGTGTGACACACCTAGCAGATGGAACACGGCCACTACTGTAACCTGGAAACTGATTGCTAGTTTTTTTCCTTTTTTGTGGTTCTGGGGTTTGAACTCTGGGCCTTACGCTTGCTAAGCAGGTACTCTAGCACTTGAGCCACACCCCCACTTCTTTTTGCTTCAGTTTTTTTCAGGTAGGGTATTGCATTTTTGCCTGGGGGATGACCTCAAGCCTCCCAATCTTCCCACCTATGGCCTCCCATGCAGCTAGAATGACAGGTACATCCCACTACGCCCAGCACAGTGGTTGTGCTGTCGTCTCCTTAACATTTTGTTCAGGCTAGCCTCAAATCAAGATCTTCCCTATCTCTGGCTCCCAAGTAACTGAGATTATAGGCATGAGCCATTGATCTTTACCTGGCCTCCAGTCTTGACCTTGGACTTTGCTTCTCACCAAAGCAGCTCCTATTTGTACATGAGTCTTTATGATGGAAAATGGGGAAACTGTTGCTTTCCAGTTTTGTTTTGCTTGTTCTCTAGATTAAACTCATTCATTTTTAAATCCTCTATTATGATGGTGACAATTAAACCCCATAACTGATGTTTGTTTATATGGTAAATGCTTTCCCTTATCACTTATGGAAAAATAAGTAGCTCATTTATTTAGGGACTAAATGTGTAAGTTTCTCCCACATATCATATCACAGCAGACACAGGCAGGGTCTGCTGACGCGTGAAGCCTGTCAGCCTCTTACAGGAGCACCAGTGGTTGCAAGCCAGGATGCTGACTGAAGTTGATTGTCACCCTCCATGTTAAAGTAAGTCCCTTGGAGCCAGGCGTGGTGACACACACCAGTGATCCCAGCAGGCAGAGGCAGGAAGATCAAGAGCTAAGGCCAGCCTGGGCTACATAGTAAGACCCTGACTCAAAAAAACAAAATTACAAAAAAAAAAGTCCCTTGGAGTCAACTATCAGCAATTTGTATTTCCAACTAAAGGGACTACTATGCAGGTGCCATATGCCTAGCTCTAGAATCACGTATGCCATGAGGTAGAAACTCAATATGCTGTTTGTTGAATAAAAGAATAAAACTTCCTGCTGGCATGGTGGCTGATGCCTGTCATCCTAGCTACTGGGGAAGGGTAAATAGGAGGATCTCTGTCCAGGCAGGCCCAAGCAGAAAAGTGAGACTATATTTGAAAAATAACAAAAGCAAAAGGGTAGGGGGCATGGCTCAAACAGTAGAGCGCCTTGAGTTCAAACCCCAGTACTACCAAAAAAAGAAGAAAAGAAAGGAAAAGAACAAAACCTCCCATGTTGGTTGAGGAGACATCAGGCAGCCAACAGAGATTTCTGATGCTAATTATGTTGTGATGCCCTTGTGCCACACAGGGCTGTGGAAGCCAGGTCTGAATGAGTTGAAGAGAGCAGAAATTACACTTTCCCTTCTGATTTTCTTCCTCACTGCCCTCTCTGTTTGAACAACAAGGCTTTCTGACGGGCCTTGGGAAGGTACAATAGAAGATTGACAGCTAGTAGCAGTTTGGTTTCTGTAATAAATCTGAGGATGGGAATCTTAAATCATGTAAAGAACCTTAAGAAAGCCAATGTTTGGACCAAGCAGTTGGAAGCATGCCTGACCCAATTGTGGTCATCTTCAACTTAATCTTTGAAATCCTGAGGAGGGAAAACCACAGGATGTATATTTGGGTAGAGACACTCACTCATCTCTTGGCTCCCTGTGGTGGAAGAAGTGGATCAGGTTGACCCCTCAGCAATCCTGTACCACACGTCACACCCCGGGTCTCCAGAAGTTCTGCCCACACAGCATGTTAGTCCTTCTGCTCTGCCGTCTGGCTGTGCCTCTTGCTCTTGACCGTGGTTTTGAGTTTTTTCACTTTTCTGAGCCTTGGTTTCCTCATCTGTAAAGTGTGTATCATTCCTGTTTTCCAGTGTGGAAAGCAGACATTTTCCAAACTTACTGTGCCCCTGAGGCATGTAATGTGCTTGCTAGAAAAGTTTTCTGGACTTTGGCTCTTAGAGATGCAGATTTGGTGGGTCTTGGGTGAGGCCCTGGCATCTGCTTGTTTGATGTGAGTGATTCTCCAAGCACACTTAGAAGTGCTTAGTGATAGCAGGGACTCCCAAACCTTTGTGGTCTTGCAACAGTCATCAGGAAAAAATATTGTACACTCACCCCCAAGACAGCCATGTTTACAAATATGTGTACTGTCTTCTTGTGCAAACATGAAATAGGCTTTATAGAGCAATACTAAGGTGAGGTAATACTTCAGCATCAAAGCTTAATATTTTCTACCCATGCCCCTTGGGTGTGTGAAACCTACTTTGGAAATACTGTTTAGAAGACCAAAGGAGCTAGCACACATAGCACTCTTTGTCAATAATAAAATGAGCTAGTTAGTACTGATAACAGCGTGTACAGCACACATATTGAGAGCGAGTCCTGCACTTCAGATACAAGCATACTTGAAAGTGCACACCCAAGACCACCCCTCGCCCCGTTCACCCTTACCTGTGCCACCACAGAACCTGGTTTTTAGGAGACTTCTGTGTTACTGCTCTTAGGCATTTTGGAATAGGTACTTTACCAAGTAAAGTATGACCTAGAGGAAAGAATTCCATTCATCTTCCTATCAAAACTGATTCCCCACTAAGGTGGGTGAGTCTGGTGAGGCACAAACTGACTAGAGCATTTATTTGGTCAAAATCTTGCTATTTTGAAAGGAAAACAATACAATCAACGTCTCTTGACATAAATTACCAACCTAAAATAGTCCAGAAAAATAAATTTCACTTCCAGTTTTATTCATCCTTTTCTGTCTTCCAGAATTATTCCTAGAGCTATGGAGAGACACATGGAAGCCTTAGGTCTAGCATAAATCAGGAAGATTTCTCAGACTAAAGAGTGTTGGTTCAGGGTCTCTCTCATCTGCTGCCCTGTCCTCTGTCTTCATGCATGCATGAAAGGAAACAAAAGGTTTACATTACCAATTTATGAAGCCACAAGAGTCTCATGACATCAGTCATCAGCCAGGTGACAAGTCAGCACAATCTGCTATATTAAAATTAAAAGCCAATAGGGAAAAACATAACATGGGGAAGATAGCTGCAAAGGCACTATTTCAAAAATAATTTGCTGAATCCTACATTCTTAATATAGAAACCTTAGTAATAATTCCTGGGAGCTATCAAATGGTGAGTATTGGCATTTTTGTAGGTATAAATATAGCTTAACATATTTAAAACCATGACTTATTAAGAGTTTAATGCAGTCAGACATTGTTCTAATCCCACACATGCATCATTTCATTTAAGCCTACCATGACCCTCTGAGTTGTAATTATTACCCCACCTCACAGATGGGGAAATGGAGGCTCAAAACAGTAAGTAACTCATCCACAGTCACACACCCAGTCAGTAGCAGACTCCTGACTGACCACGGACTGAGCAATAAGCAGGCGTTTTACTATCAGTTCTCCAAATCTGTCAGTTCCCCATTGTCAGATTCGTCCAAATGTGTATCAAAATATTTTAAAATTGTGTCTGTATT